TATTTTTCTCATGAATCAAGAAAAATAGTTGGAAAATCAGTCAATGTTGTTCTATGTTTCTAACTTTTCTCATTATTTGGAGGAGGCTAGGTTCCCGGAATTTTGGGACCTATTTTTGCTCCAATTTTTCTAGTTCCAATGTTTTCTTATTTTTTTCCAATTTTTCTACTTGATAACATATATATATATATAGCTGGACAATCAGTCAATTGTTTCTAATCTTTCTAATTGTCCTAATTATTTGGAAGAGTATTTGTTGTAGCTGTCATAATGTTCCCATTGTTTCTAATTAATGTTTTTTTTTGACAATCAGTCCACGTTTTCTAGTTGTTCTTCTTTTTTTCTAATTGAGTAGAAAAATTAGGAAAACTAGCAAAAACCAAAAATTAGAAACATAGGTCCCAACATTCCGGAAACCTAGCCTCCAAATAATTAGAAAGATTAGAGAAATGTGATTTTCCAGCTAATCTTTCGAATGAATTAGAAGAATTAAACAATCGATTAATAACTAATTTTCCAGCTAATCTTTCTAATTAATTAGAACAGTTAGAAAAATAAGACAATTAGAAGAATAGAAACATAGGTCCCAGCATTCCGGAAGCCTGGCGGCCTCCTCCAAATAATTAGAAAACTTGGAAAATCAGAAACATACATGACTGATTTTTCAGCTAGCTTTTCTATTTAATTAGAGAACTAGGAAAATTGAAGAAAAATGATTGATTTTCCAGCTATGGTTTCTATTTAATTAGAACAATTAGAAAATAGCTGATTTTCCAGCTATTTTTATTATTATTTAGAAACCTTAGAAAAATAGGTCCCAACATTCCGGAAACCTAGGCTCCGGCAAATAATTAGAAATTAGACAATTCGATAAAAGTGCCTGATTTTCCAGCTATTTTTTCTATTTAATTCGAAAACTAGAAACCCATGACTGATTTTTCAGCGTTTTTTTAAATTGATTAGAAAAACTGGAAACTTAGGAAAATTAGAAAAAATAGAAAAATAGTTCCAACATTCCGGAAACCTAGCCTCTTGCAAATAATTATTAAAATGGAACACATATGAACATCATTAACTGATTTTCCAGCTGTTTTTTTTTTTTTTTTTTTTTTTTTTTTTAAATAAATAAATAAAAAAAATTGATTAGAACAAATAAAAAACAAAACTTAGACAAATTGACTGATTTTCCAGCTAATTTTTCTATTTCCGGCTGGACCCCGACACTTTGAAGCCCAAATGAAAAGGAACATGGAAAGGACAACAGGAAAGGACATGGAAAGGAATCGGAAGGAAATGGAAAGGAAATGGAATTTCTATTTCCTCCATTTCCTTTCAAATATCCCTTTATTTCTTTTTTTTTACTTCCTTTCCATTTGCTTTCCTTTTCTATTTCCTTTCCAGTTCCTTTCCTTTTCCTTTTCATTTGGGCTTCAACGTGCCTGGAATCCAGTTTCTATACAACACTTTATCGGCAGTGAGCCCCAGCTTGCCAAGCACAAACGTTCCCTTTCCTATCTATTTCTTGTTTGTTGTTGATTGTTTTTTGTTGGTTCACCGCCCTCTTCTGAGCGCCCAATGATGAGAAAGGCATAGAAGAACATGATGGGTTTGCTAGCTATTGTTTCTATCTAGTATTCTAATTGATTGTGAGATAAGTATACGGCTACTGGCAGGGTCAACCAGGTTAGGAATAGAAAGGACATAAAAAAAAGGACATGGAAGGAATGGCAAAGAAACGAAAAGGACAAGAAAGGAATTAAATGGAATTAACATGGAATAAAAATGGAATTAACATGGAATTAAAACGGAATGGACATGGAATGGACATGGAAAGACATGACAAGTAGGGAAAGCAAATTCGCCGCTTCAAACTCTGTTCAGGGAGATTACCAAAAACACATGTCCGGCTTCTTCAATAGAGAGGAGCGAAACGGAATGGAAAAAATGGAAACACACAAGAGGAAATAAAATGGACAGAAATGGAAACACAATTGGAAAGGAAATGGATAGGAAAAGAACTAGACAGAAATACACGAAACAAGAAGAAAGAAATGGATTTGAAATGAAATGGACATGGAACACACATGGAAAGGAATGAAAGCAACATGGAAAAGGACGGAAAGATATAGGCATACAATTTGAGGAAATGGACATGAAACTCGCCGCGTCCAAATTCTTGGCACGGGAAATTGCGAAACGAGCACGTGTTTGGCCCGGGCTGGCCTTCGGCACTTCTAGCTAGGAATGGAAAGGAAAGAAATGGAATTAAACGAGCACGTGTTTGGCCCGGGCTGGCCTTCGGCACTTCTGGCAAGGAATGGAAAGGAAAGAACTGGAGTCCAAATGGACTTGACATGGAATGGAAATGGAAAGGAATGACAGGGAGGGAAAGGAAACTCGCCTCTTCAAAACTCTTTTGAGGGAAATTGAATGAGGAAGACGTATTTCCTAATTTATAAATCTTATGTCTCTATATCTGTCCTTCTCATAATCTGTTTCATGCCAATACAGACTTAAGATTTGGAGATCCTCTATACAAGCCTTAGAAATGCGAACGAATATATCCAAAAGTAGATTTAATATGTTGCAGATCCAGGTCTTAAGCCGCTGTGTGGGGCATCTTCCAGAATCTCACATACATTGTTTTATATATTTTTGAGTATTATCTATTTGATTTACTAGCTGTATCTTGTCTCGCCATGAATCTCATCTATTTGTTATTTACGTGTTTCATCTCTGTGTCTTGTTAATAGGAAGTTTATTCCTTAAGATAATAGTGTTAGGACTGCAAGCGCTTCAAAGATGGGAGATGCATCCAAAAGCGTTCATTCTCTGTCTTTCATGTCCTTTTACTGGCATGCTTCTTGGAAATTCCAGAGTCATAGTTGTTGCAGCGAAACAAAAGCAAGATAACATTAATAATATGAGCGAAGGGACATCTCCTTGCCTTGCGAGGAGGGGAGTGAAGGAAGACATTATCATGTTTACAGCTATTGCTCTCCGAAACCGCCCTTTCCCTTAGTACTCATGGCGGTGAGATAGGAATGAGTTAGGATAGGACGATATTGGGACATGGGCTAGACCTTACCTTTCATGCCATTTGGCCCGGGCTGGGCACTTTCCCATCTCCGTTCTTGTCTATTCCATTTCCCTATTTGCTTCCATTTCCTTTTCAACAACTTTCCATTTCCCTTCTCTTTCCTTTCCCCGGGCCGAAAAAGTGCCCGGCTCGCAATTGTCCGTGTCAATAAGATTGAAGCGGCAAGTGTCAATTTCATTTCTTTGAAATTCCTTTTCACGTCTTTTCCGTTCCTTTCCATATCCGGTTCAACCCTCTCCGTTTTCAGCTCGATTCAATTCCTGTTCTATTCATATGTCCTTTCCATTCCCTTCCATTTCATTTTCATTGCCTTTAATTTCCATTCGATTTCCATTTCTTTCTATTTTATGTCCCTTTCTTCCCACTCATTTTCATTCCTTTCCATGCCTAGCTAGAAGTGCCCAAGGCTAGGCCGGGCCGAGAAAGTGCTCGTTTCGCAATTTCCCGTGTCAATAATTTAGAGGCGGCGAGTCTCCTTTCCATGTCTCTGAGTTGTATCTCCATGCCGCTTCCGTTTTTCACATGTCCTTTTCGCTCCTGTCAATGGTCACTCCTTTCTTTTTCACGTCCTTTCCATTTCTTTCCAATTCCTTTTCATTGCAATTGTGCTTCCATTATCTTTCATGTGTTCCAAACATGTCTTGTTCCATAAACGCTTATTCTTTTCTACTAGATTGATTTTGTTACAAAGCGTGACGCTACGCCACTGATGTATCTTGGAAATTAGGAAACGTTAACTATCAGAAGCAACGGAAAGAAAGAACACATGGAGATGTACACTTCGTGCATCGAAACAAGACAGAGGATGCGTTTGTGCTTCCATTTAAAGAGATCTCGTTTCTACGCCAAATTTGGTGCAATCTTCCCAACCACGGAGGGGGGGGTGATGCGTTAAGAGGCAATGCGTGCCATCGGACCCCTGAAATTGGTTGGTTTTCCTAGCCCCAAAAGGGGTGCCCTGCACAAAAGACGCATGTTTTTGGAACCTTGGACACCCTTGACTGCTACTGGGTTGGATCTTTAGACTTTAACTTCTTTTTTTTTGGAAAATCCAGGGTTTTCCACTAAACCCCGAAAAGTTGAACTTTTTGCCGGGGGACAACAGCAACCAAGAAGCCTCACGTCCAAGCTCCTCGAGTGCAAGCGCAGGTGTTTTGTTCCGAGTTCTCTCCCGATGGCCGGTCATTGGCAACCGGCTCCTTCGACAAAAGCATCTACCTGTGGCACGCGCGGGCACCAAGAAAAGGAAGGCCATGTTGCGTAGAGTTTGCGACGACCAAGCCTTGGTCATCTCAGAAAACAACAAGGGGGTTGTTTCAAGAAGAGTGGTTTAAATATGTTTCAAGGGTCTGGCCCAGGCCTAGTGGAGTAGATTTTGATTTCCTGCTTAATTAGCTTTCTGCCTTTCAAACCCTGTTCGTGCCAAGGTCAAAACATCCTTTCTCTTGGGGTTGGTAGGCGCAGATTGTGGAACTCAAGCCAAAAGGAAGGGTCCAAAATGGTTTCCCCGAGCTACCGGACCCAGGTGTTTATTTATACATGCATGGAATATGCAACCACTACTATGTAGAGGGTATATATCCGGGTTTTCCCATGGGGGTAGTGATTTGGGGTGAGTGGAAACCAGTAAAAGGGGGTCCTGCACCAGCTCAACTGCTGCGACAAGAAAAAGTATGCGTTTCCCAAGAGTGGAAATAGCTCCTTTTGCCCTCTAGGCCCCAACAAACGGAAAGTTAGGACCTGCCCAGATGGCAAGTGGGCAATATGACGTGATTTGCCTGTACCTTGCTGTGGCTCCTGTAGGGCTGTGGCTTCTGTAGGGCTGTAGAGCCTTGGAACTTTAGGGCACATGAACCGGCGTACATCAGGGTATATTCCCTCCAATCTTGGACGCTTTGGGTAAGAAAATTTCACTATCCTGCATCATCTCTAATGGAAATGGGAAAGGCGCCGAAGATTCCATCAGAGCAGCTGTGGGGTACCAGCGCCGAAGGGATGCAACTCCGGGGTGTTTGTCGTAGGTTTGCAGATCCGCCAGCTTTGTGGACCCCCTGCATTCCCTGGACTGCTTGGCTCAGCAGTATGCTGCGGTCCTGACACAGCTGACGTGTTGTCCAACATCCCGCATATGACGCATGCATGCCCCCCCTCCCCCCCCCCCCCATAGGTACTGCAGACCAGACGCATGTCCACTATTTTCAGTTCCTCAAAAAATGAGACCCATCAGACTGCGCATGTTGGCCATCTTTGTTTGGCCAACTTGGGTGTTCTGGGTACCGTATCTTTACCAGCAGCTTTGTGGCCGTGTGTTGTTTTGAGGGTACCCTTTGAGGTTGGTTCAAAGCGAAACCCAAAAACAAGTCAACATGCAGTTGGTGCCCCCTATTTGGAGACACCTGCACACAATTTTTGACGAACACGTGCCTCCGCCCATACTGTCGCAGTGCGCAAGTGCTGCAAATGACAAGCACAGACATCCACCCTCGACGTCGCAGCACAGGCATCCGTAGCTGTTACACACGAAACGGTGCTCTCTCTCGTCTATATGGAGTCAAAGAAAACAGCAGTTTTCTGGGATCAAAAGAATGCCGTGAACCCCTTCTCCTGCAAAATTAACATGGAACCCAAGGCTTGCAGGTGCTTTTACTCTGCCCCTGAAAGATTCGAACCCCGCCCTCCTGGGCGAGAACAAGAAGCGGGTTGCAAACAGAGATCTGGGCCACTGGCTCTGGGTAGCAAGGCGACTTTTGGAGGGAGAGGTCTTTCGAACTGCTTTTTGGAGGGTGATTCTGAGGGCCCATGCTAAGCTTTTGCGTGATGGGACTGAAGACACAAGTACAGTTTTGGACGCACGGGGCTGTGTACGACCCCCTCATGATTTGGGTATGGATCAAAATTAAATCACCAGGGGACCGCAGGCTTTAGTCCATGCTTCCATTTACCAGGGTTCCATTTGAAATACCTATTTTTGACCCACAGCCATGTGGTGTCCCTGACGACGACTTCCCTACTTGTAGCGTTCGCGGATGCCCCCAGGTCTACGGCGAGTGCGAGAACTACGGGGTTATGAAAGGTCACGCGAACGCGGTCCTGGAGGCGCGGGGAGATGAAGGTGGGGCTCGCGGTTTGAGAGGCCACCTGTATCGTCGCTTTCGGAAGGGTCGGAAGAGGATCCCATGCAGGGTAGGGTTGATTCAAGGGTTTGGGGATTGGGGTTGGTCTGGGGTGCAAAGGTTCCAAAATGGGTTGCTATGATGTAAGCAATGCCAACACCCGCCCCCTCAGACACTGCGTGCTAGGTGAGGCTTTGGCAATCATCCGCTGTCGGAGGATGGGAATCAAACACTTCGGTCTCACGGAAAGGTGTTTTTTCACAACCATGTTCCATGTTGCAGCAGCAACTGCCGATCCTTTCAAGATCTTGAACCGCGAGTCGGTAGATGCTTTTGAAGAAATGGGCGGGTGTCGAAATGAGCTGGGGACCCTTGGGCAATTGATCTATTTGGTGTCCTTTGTCATCCCAAGCAGGGGCCCGACAAGTCCTTTACACCCCCGGCTAAACATCTCCCTCCAGCAGCAACTAGACTTGGGATACATGAAGTTGAGTCACTGGTGGCCTTTGTCCCAAGCATACATAGGTGCGGACACGTGCCCTCTCAATTGAATATATAAGGGCATGTGGCTATATGTTTTTTGAGGGTACCCTTTTGCACATCTGGTTTAATGGGAAACCAACTGGAATCCCCTATTTCGGGGTCCCCCTATTTTGAGTATTTGCCTTTTGAGGTTACCCTTTGCAACACTAGTCTAATTTAGAAGGGAACCAACAGGAAATCCATCATTTGGGTTCCCCTGGAAACCAGTTTTGACATGCTCGTACTCACCTTACCCTCAATTGGTGGTTTTGGGGGTTTGTAACCACTAAACCACTGGGCTCCAAACCACAGAAGCTGACATGCAGCTTTGCATAGACCCCTTCATGATTGTTGTTGGGAAACATTTTACATTTTTGCTTATTGTGGTTTAGTGGTTGGTTTCCCCACTTAACTGCTAGAATTTAAGTTTTTGCTCCCCTTCCAACGTTGAGTCGCTGTATTCGTGGCCCTGCCGCAGATCCACTGGAAGCACGATGGGACCCAGCTATACACCTGCTCCGCAGACAAGAGCGTGTGTGTTTGGGACCGCGGCTCATGCGCGCATGGCGCATGGGGACTTGGCTTCCCCAAAGAATGCGGAGGGAAGGGGCCAAAAATGCTGGGTTTTTTTGGGGCTTCTCTTCAAAGCCGGCGAAAAGGGAGTCCCCCCAAAGAAGAGGATACTACTACTATTACTATTGCTATTACTATTACTATTACTATCAATACGACTACTACTACTACTGCTGCTGCTGCTACTACTATTGCTGTTATGACAGTTATTAATACTACGGCTATCTCCACGTCAGTTCATGGCCAAAGGGTTCGCCACTTGACTTGCATGTCGAAATCGGAACCAAAGAACTGCTCGGGCCTCCCCCAGCCCCCCCCCCCCGCCGGCCCCGTTCAGACCCGCCAAGACACGGAAGTACAGTACCGGCAAAGGCCGAGAGGCGGACCCTGCAGAAAGCGCCAAGTACTCTTGGCTGATGAAAAGCTGACGTTCTATCCAGGGAAGCGAGGCTACGTCGGGTTTCTCCGGGTTTCCTTCGGATCCTGGGGTCGGTCTCCTCTGCTTCAGACCAATGACTGGATTCGGCAGGTTTCGATGATTTGCGGAATGGACAGATTGGGACGGTTTGGAAGTTGGTTCATGTTACACCCAGGCGTTCTTTGTCGGACTACATGAACCCAACCCTGGATCAAAGTCATACATGATGTCCTTGGGTGAGTGAAACAAGTGGCACGGTTTCAGTTTGGTTCAACTCCTCTTGCCAATGCTGTGCATGGACGAAATCCATTTCGCACCATTTTGAAGCCATGGTTGAAACTTAAACGATTGCTTGTTGGTATTTGCAGGGGGACATTCATCATTCCAGAGTTTTCTTAGGTGCGAAACGGATCTTTTTGCCATCCACAGACCCGTCGCGGGTTCGTTCGCTTCAGGACCCCGAGTCTGGGAAGCGCCTGAAGAAGCTCAACGGGCACACGGCCATCGTGAACAGCATGCAGGCGGAGAGCCGGGCACAAGGGGCCTGACAGCCAGAGCTGGGGTCTTCCTCGGATCTTACTTGGCTGTGGGTCAAAACGAATGGTACCATTTTGGGGTAGGTGCACCACCCATTTTAGTCTCTAGTGGCGAATGGGATGTTCACCGGTACGGGATTTTGACCCATGGCCATGTGTGTTGTAACATATGCTTCTGGTGGGCTAAATATCGACAGAGTCTGAAAGTATGCTTCTTGTCCACCCCAGATTTGAGACAGGAGATTTGGTGTGGCTTGAGTCGGGGACGCCCCGTATGGAATGCAAAATGTTTGGTTTTTAAGGTGGGGAAGGGGGAATGTGCCTTCTGGACTGGAGAAAACTATGAAGTAGAACCAGTATTGTGTCCGGTGTACCCTGGTGTTACGGGGCAAGATGTTTGGTCACCCCTGTTGGATCAAACGTCTGGCGGGAGACAACAAAGCATGGTTGTGGCATGCGGCATGCCGCCCGGCAAATTTACATGGTGCCCCGGCGCAAAAGGAGGTCCTAAAAGGAGGTACAAGGAGGTCACGATGCCCTTGGACGCCGGAACCACAATACATGGGGCTTTTCAATCATCAGAATGGGGGGGGGTTGGGGCGCTTTAAACCCAGATTTCCTTAAAACAAAAGGAACTCATGGGTGTTGTTTTTGTCTCGCCTCCTTTTCTTGCCGTGCCAGACTTCCCGGCGTGGCATTCCCTACCTGGTCAGCGGAGGAGATGACGGCACGCCCGGCTTGTGATCCCGCCCGCCGGGGCCTTTGGGTGTGTCCAAAGAGGGGCGCTCACAAAATGGCTGGGTTTCCCTTGGTTTCCCTTTGAGCCAGAAACAAGGGATACCCTCAACAAAAAGCAGATCCCCAGATGTGGGCGTGTGTCTGAATGTGTGCGTGTCACGGTGTGTTCTGTTTGATACTTGTTTTGATATATACCTTTGTTGGGGCCAACACTGGGGCTGTTTTGGCGCTCGAAGGCAGTGACCCGGCCAGTTTGCTCTCAAATCAGCGCAGCTTGCCTTGTGTGTTGTCAGTCCGGCTTTTAGGCCAATGGACAGATGCAAGTCGAAGCTCGCTTCAAATTCATGAGGTACAGGGGTGTGTTTGTTTTTTGGTTTTAAATGGACACCAAAAGGTTCAACACCATTTTGGGGCCACATAACCTGAATGAACGCACCAAATTCGAGGACTTGTAGGATCCGATGTAGGGTCATGTGCTTTTTAAGTCGTCCGCTTTAAGAGGTGTGTAGTTTGCTTTTGCTGTGTTCGGTAGGGGCCCGTTTCCTTGGCTGCCTGGTGAGGATGGGCCAATTTGGCTCGCCCTCCCAACAAGCTTGGGTTGGTGTCCTGTGCACCTTAGCTTGTTTGTTGGCAGCCCTTTCCGCTCAGATTTCCCCATGATATCCTCCACAGATGCACCAAACAACCAATCTTCGACATTTTTTCAGGATCTCCACCAAAAAAAGAGCAAACAGCCAGCCCCCTGAAAATCGAACCTCCTCAGTTCTTTTTGTTTTTTTCATTTTTCCGTTCCGGACGGCCAGGTACCACAAAGTTGTGGGACTTGCGGGTGCGGCGCTGCGTGCGGGACCTGACCTCACTGGCCACCTCCACCCTTGTCCTGGTTCCGGTGGTTTTTTAGCCTGGGAGGGAAACCAAAAACGCCCGGGTGAAGGACCTAGATGGCTGGAATCGCTTGCTTTTTTTCATTGTTGTTCTTTCTTCGGTCAAAGGGCAGGGTAGCTTGCCAGAACATGGCAGGATGACTGCTGGGTGAAAGTAGATGGCACCAGTAAAGGGGGTAATTAAACCAAAAGGAGGGAATTGTGCCATCTACTTTCACCCAACAGTTGGCAGGAATGTGGGGGAAGCGGAGACGTGGGTCATGTTTCCGACCATCCTACTCATTCTGTGGCATTCCCTCCCTCCCCCTCCCTACCCCGCCCAAAAAACTGGGCGAACCCAAGACACTAAGTCACTTTGCTTACTTGAGTTTTATCTGTTCGAGTTCATGGACAGAAAGTCGAAGGTTTGCCAATGCTCTCACATTTTACCGCGAAAGTCTTCGTGAAGACGACCACTCAAGTGCCGGACGGACGGAAGAAGCTTAGGTGCACACCTTTGAGCATCAGTGCCCCCGGCGGCGTTTTTTTTTTTTTTTTTTTTTGCGTGTGCCGATCTTTGGGGTCGGCGGGGAATCAAGCGGAGTGTTGAGAATGATCCGTTTGGGACCCTCCAGGAAACCCAAATGGGTATGGGTCAAAATTAGACCACCCAAGGGACCGCAGGTTTTAGTCAATTTTTCGTCCTTGTTTCCATTTACCAGGATTCAAATTGGGGTACCTACTTTTGACCCACACCCAAATGGTGTAGAGGGTTTCCGCATTGAGAACCAGCAAGCGAAGCAGATTTGGCAGGCTAGAAGGAGCCAGTGGACCATTTGGATGTGTTGCAGGGAGTGGTTCCCCGACCAAAGCACCTGCTTGGGGCTGGTTTTCTGGCATGAAATCCAGGATTTGGGGGGGCACCTTTGAGTGAGCAGCTTCCTCGAAAGGCACGTCCTCACCTCGACAGCAACCATTCGGAGGTACCAGATCCTGGCAGTTTCCTTCGACGACACGGCGGAGCGAATATTCTCCGGGCGCCGTGGCTTTCATGGGACCCCCGCAGAAGCTGCTCAGGGAATGCTTCGTCCTTGTCAGGGCTCCCTCGAGCTTCCCCTTTTGGTGGCTTTAGACATCACCTTTTGGTTGCCAATTGGAAAGCTTCCTTTGGTGGAGTGATGTTAGGGGAAATATAGGGAGGCCTGAGAGTAGCTTGCTTAAAAAAAGGAAAAAGAGGAAGCCAGTTTAGGCCTGGTAGACCCCAACTATTTTCAGGCCACCGTGTTGACATAATTTGTGCGCACAGAGACGGATATAGCATGCTTCTTGTAGCGGGGAATGTAGGGAGCCCCACACCCCAGCTCCCCCCCTCCCGGTTGCCCTCCCTCCCCACTCCCCACTCCCCCGCCATTGGCCTCAGGTCCCTGGATAACACCGTGCTGGTCTACGACATGCGCATGCGGGATCAGGATCCGGAGGCGCGGTCTGCGGTTGAGCCGCCCCAACAAAAAAGCAGCGAGTGTGTGTGTGTGTGTGTGTGTGTGTGTGTGTGTGTGTGTGTGTGTAGGTCTTCGGAGGTCTCTATGGGATCAAGATGGTCGGGTGTCCTCCAAGCTTTCAGATTCTCCAAATCTGGTTTGAGGTTGGTGAGCCCTCGAGGTTTTAGACCAGACTTCTACCTGAATGGCAAGGGTTCCTGAGGGAACCTTGTCTTACCGTGTATCCAATGGATGGCTTTTTGGGAGATAAATACCTGCAACATGGTTTGGCCGCGAAGTGCTCCTTTTTGAGGTCCGTATATCTCTTGTTTTCTTGGGGTGGTGTCAAACATCACCTTCTACAGCCAAGTCCAGTTGACTTCACCATGCCCAGCGCATGGAACCGAACCAGACCAGTCCCTAAATGTTTTTTGTTTTTGTTTTTTTGTTTTAATAGAGCGGTTGTTGTTTTAGATCCACCCGTTTGGCCAAGTTGATTTGTGAGTTTCCTGGGTGGTTGGACAACTGTTGGAGATGTAGAGTGCGCTTGGCCGATCTCCAAAGCAACCGGGAAAGGGCGTACCGGGTTCCTTAACTCAGAGGGAGGCCCAGTTGGGCGCGATCGAGGTCCTCGAAGGACACGGTGATAGCATCACGGGCCTGGATGTGTCCAAGGACTGGGTTGCCAACAGTTGCAACGAGTGGATTCCAAACCGCTCGTCTCAAGACAGTCCGCCCACCCACCCACCCACCCACCCACCTATCCACCCACCCACCCACCCGACCGCCCACCCACCCGCCCGCCCGACCGACCGACCGACTGACCGACCGACTGACCGACCGACCGACCGACCATGAGCAACTGAGCAAAACAACACTTCCCAGAAACAGTTAGGCGTTTCTAGCGCCGCAAACCCAAGAACAGGGCACTAACGCCCGTGCCAGGGCCCCGTTTGAAGCCTTACGGGGCGGAATGAAAAGTCCCGAGCTCAAACATGGCCTTTTGAAGGCCAAGTTCACATGAATTTCACTTAGACCGGGCTTCACTGAAGCCCTGGGCTCCGAGCCCTCAGAAACCTCGAGACTCGCGCGCGCGGACGCGCGTGCGCTTGCGCGCGAGGACGGCAACTTCCTGGCAACGAACTCCATGGACAACACGGCCGGGCCCCCGGGAATTCGAGGCACTAGGCATGGAGCCCACAAGCCAATGATTCTGCCCCAGGTGGCGAGATCACCAGCTAAAACGAGCTCAGCAGAGGGGCTGCTAGTGGAATTCGTATTTTGGGTCTTGGACTTGTGACAAATGCAGATGTTGGGCTAAAGTGTTAACCGCAGGTGGTCGCTTGTCTTGACTCTTTGTAAGTGTCCACTTGGGCCACCATTTTGGCTCAAGTGGGCACTTCCCTTCTGTCTTGGAATCTGAAACTTCTCATTCCCCTCCTATCAAAGCCATGTACGCCCCCGCCTATGCTGGTGCCGCGGTTGCAGAGGCTAAGGCGAAGGCAAAGGCATCCATGGCGAAGTACCTGGCAAGCCTTGTGAAAAAGGAGGAAGAAGGTTGGACCGTCCTGGCGGCTGAGGTCCCTCAGGCACCGGACGAACGGTTCTTCTCCAGCGCCGACGAGCTGGAGCAAGCCCCACTCATCCCAGCCAAGCGTAAGGCCGAGGACGAGCTGATGGCGGACTCCTCCCCTGGGGTGGCGCAGGTGCCGAAGGCCCTGACACGCCCCCCAGGGGCGTTCCTGGAGCTTCTCGACCCTCCAGAGCCGGATGTTCCCATGGAGGAACTCCTGGCGGAAGACGAGGAGGAGCCCCCGATGGAGGAACCCCTGGCGGAAGATGAGGTGGACCCCCCGATGTCCGACACCAAGTGGCAGGGACGCCAGGACCTGATGGAAAAGGCCAGGGCGCAGGCGTCCTCGGAGGGGGATGAGGACCCCGCAGCCCCCCCGCCAGGGGGAAGCGTCTTCACCAAGGCCCTCAAAGTCTCTGAGGGCCTTTACCAATTCAGTGCGGACCAGATGGCGGGCGACTTCCCGTGTTTTGATGCGACCACGGCCACCAGGCTCCGCCGACTGCAGGCCAAGGATGTGTCCAGCGGCTCCTGAGAGGCTTTGAGGGCCCCCAACTCAAGCAGGGGGGCCTGGAGCGCGTGGTGGAGGCGTTCTACATCGCCAAGATGAAGTATGAGCATGAGGCCCTGCTCAGCACCCCGGGACAGAAGGTTGGCAAGCGCGCTGGCCTGGGGTATGGGGGCCTGGAGAACCGCCCCCTGGGTAAGGAGCCCACATCCTGGATCTGCCCCTGCTGCACCATGCCCTGGGTGAAGAAGGGCGCCAGGAAGTGTATGGGGTGCGGCAAAAGACGCCCTGGAAATGGCGGGCACGCACTGGCAGCTGACAGTGGATGACCAGGGCAATGCGGTCTGGACGGCGGCCCGGTCCGCAGGTGCCGATGGCCCTGATACGGACCGGGCCCGCGACCTCAAGCTCAGCGCCTCGGTGGATGTCAGCGAGCTGGCCACCGACCCGATGGCATGCGAGAACCTGGACCAGGCCAGCTTCTCGGATTTTGTCCCCTCCTCGGTCCGGGCGGTGATCAGGAACTGCCCCATGGAGCTGGACGAGGATTTCCTGACGGCCCCAATGGGGGAAAGGCCCCCGTTGCCGGGCGACAAGGAAGAGGGCCAGGAGTGCAGGGCCTTCCACCCGTCGGCAGTGAAGGCCTTCAAAATCCAGACCCGGCTCAACGCCACCACCATCGCCCAGGAGGAGGCCAAGAAGGCAGACCAGGTGGCAGCGGTGGAGCGATCCGCGGCGGTCCTCCACGAGCTTCAAGGAGGGGCCATCGATGGAGGAGGCGATGGGGGCCAACTCCTCAAGAATTTGGACTTGGACCTCTTCCGCGAGAAACTGCTGGATAAGCTGGGCGCGGACTGGGGGAGGCCCACACCGGAGCTCCTCCAGGCCCAGACCACTGCGGAAGAGGCGAAGGCAAAGCACCAGGCCAGACAAGCGAAGGGCGCCCTCGAGACCAGAATGCTCGAGCCCATCAAGCCTCCATTCAGTGCGTGGCCTAGCGAGGTCCGAGTTGCCATTGAGACAGGGGTCTTTGAGCCGACCACGGCATGGAGGGATTTCAGCATGGACGACCTCACGTCCCTCACGGACTCTTACCTCGAAGCCAAGGCGGTCATCTCGCTGGGTAGGAACCCCTTTCCGGCGGCCCTCCTGGCAGATCTGCCGGATCTGGCGGGGATCCCCATTCCAAAGGCGGGGGGCTCTGGTGCGGCGCGCCCAGGTGCCGAGGGCCCTGACAGGCAGCCCACCATCCCCCCAGCTTCGGGCTCTGGTGCGACGAGCTCAGGTGCCGAGGGCCCTGACAAGCCGTCCGCCACCCCGGGGGGCCTGGACACCCAGGACCCGGAGGTGCAGCTCGCGGTCCTGCGCTGGATGATGAGCAAGCGTGTCGGAGAGGTCCGCATCTTTGCGGGCCGCTGGGTCCGACGACCGGGGCCCGTACACGTCCCGGACTGGGCCAACAACCTCACCAAGGTGAATCCGGAGGCGCTGGAAAAGGGTACGCATCCCAGGAACCACCAGGCGGGTGGACTCCCATGGGCCAGGTACTCCGTTGAGGAGCTGAACCAGCAGGCCAAGGCGGGGGACCGACCATACCCCGAGGACCTGCGATCCATCTTCTGGGCGGCCCCCCACGATCCGGAGAAGGACTTCCACTGGGCGCGCCAGATCTCGTCCTGGACACTCCCAGGCTTGCTGGGGATGTTTGGTCACAGCTTCACTCTGCGCCAGCTCTGGGGAGTCTGGGAGTCCCTGCCATTGCTTCAGGGCCCTAGACAGCGGGGCCCGAAGAACAAGGCCCAGAATCAGATCCGCCTGGAAGGCTGGGAGACCCTGAAGGAAGATGCTCGGTGCTTCCTGAAGGAGGAGGGCCTTCCGCTTCCGCAGACAGGACCGGAGTGGCGCCTGGTCTACCGGGCCATGGGCAAGGTCCTTGCGGCCCGGGCCTTCCTCACGGACACCCCGGCGGAGGTAATGCAGCTCCCGGTCCAGGACGTGGCGGACTCCAAGGAACAGATGATCCTCCGGGCGGTATGTGATGAGCGCATATCTGTCCCGGTGGAGAGTCTCCAGCAGTTCCCAGAGGTGTACCAGGCCCTCATGGACCGCATTGGAGGCCCGGGGGCCCTGGCGGAGGTGAAAGTCAACTGGCGCTGCAACACGAAGCAGTGGTGGGTCGGCGCAGTCCCCGACTCAGTGGCCCCCTCCATCTACCGCAAGCTCGGCTACACCAACGACATGATCAAGCTGATGGGCCTGGACCCCTCCGCCCCCGGGTGCCGGACAGGTGCCGATGGCCCTGACATCCGCCCCAGGGGAGGAGAGGGCGATGAGGGGATCGTCTACCCCCCCATCACATCGGACAACGTCCACGGCGTGGTGGGCAAGGATTACAAGAAGAAGAACTTCTCGGCAGAGACGAAGCACGTCTTCTGGGCGCACATGGAGTGCGGCCTGGTTCTGAGCTCAGTCACCCCATGGGAGCTCATCCCCAAGACGAAGGGGGAGACCCGGGGGGGCTATATGTGCAAGTACTGCAAGGGGTACTGGCGCGCCGGGGGAGGGGGCACTCGCCTCCTCCAGATCCGGGCCGGCAAGGCCATCCTTCAGCTGGTGCTGGACGAGCCGCCCGATGGACTGTACAACCGCTGGGTCAAGGAACGGCTGGAGTTCTACCGCCGGGTAGAGCCGTCTGCCCCGCTGCGGGATGTCTCCGTGGTGGACCAGAAAGTCCCACGGTTTAGGTTCAGCCACGTCACCCAGACCGGCCATGTTTCAGATGCCATCTGGGAGCTGATTCTCCGGAACCCGGAGGCGGCGGCGCTCAAGCGCATTGACGACATTGCCAAGGGGGCCGTGTGATCATGCAGCACTGCGGCCATCCGGAACGGACTCGCAGGGCACCCCGGGGGAGGACAGCTGCCGATGGCGCTGATATCCCCCCCGGGCACAGCACAGGCCTTGACCTGTACCAGGCGAGAAAAATGGGCGCGCTTGGGCTGGTCCGGAGTGCGCCTGGGCTCCCCCCCTCGTTTGGTTTTTCCCTTTCCGTGGAGGCTCCCCGGGTCCCCCCCCCCCCGTTTTCGGGTTTGGCTTTCCGGGGTTTTGGGGCCCCCCCTGTTGTTGGGTTGGGGTTGGCGCCTAGAGATTTGGCTCCGGGCTCGAGTGGATCATGATGATGTGGAGGCCCCGCCTCCCTTCCCCGTTTGGAACGACCTTCCTAGGGGTCCCAACCGCGGTCCAGTTGATTTTGCATGACCTTGGATTTGCACCAGTGCAGTCGGACGGGGAAATCCTCGTGGCGTGCTGCCTGGAATGGGTCAAAAAGGACCAGGTTGCCAACCCGGATGCGGTGGTCTTCGACCCGCGACCGTGGACACGAATCGTGGGGATGGCACCCGACGATAACCATGTCCTGGTGGCCTCGGACACCTACAACTTGATCCTCGCAAGGATACTCGGCTCCCAACCACAACCGCTGGAGGAGGCGGATTTGGAGCTCGCTACTAAGACCCTGCAGCAACTTCTGTTTCGTGCGGCAGGCGCTAGACAATCGTACACCTATTCTCCACTGGAAATGGAACAGGCCATCCGGGACCGTGAGGAGTGGATCCTCTCCGGATCGATTGAGGCCCCGGATGTCCTGGCAGTGGCCAACAAGTGGCGGCATTGGAAACCAGGGAAGATCAAAACCCAACTGCCGACATCCCAACGAGCGTTGGAACAGCACTTGAGGGCCAGGTGGCTGGAACGCCTCCTGGGCTACTTCATTCCCTTCCGCCACCAGATCCCCTACATGCACCAGGTGATGGGGGCCAAGGAGCTGGAGGAGTTCGGCCACCTGTTCGGAGATGCCCGTTTCCGGACCATCCGAGCACATTGCTTGGCCTATGAGGGCATGCGCAAGATCGGCTTCCAGAACCTCCCCTGGACGGCCGGGGACGTACGGCACCTCATGAACCAGGCGGTCACGCTGGAGGTCACCCCGGCGAAGCTCCAGAAGTGGTGGGGCACTTTAAAGTGGCTCTCCATTAAACTCGGCATGCTCAACGTTGACGAACACAAACAGCTCCTGGCG